ACTTGGCGTGATCACCTTGAACACACCAGTGGGAGAGGTTGATTTTCATATAGTCAACGTGCCAACGCCATTCCTCCTATGCCTAGCTGATATGGATCGGCTCGGCGTATATTTAAATAACGTCACGAACGAGCTCGTTGGCAATGGTGTGAGCGTTCCAGTGATTCGAAGATGGGGTCACGCGTGGTTCTTCTTGCGGAAACAAGAGGCATCAGTGGCATATCTCACGGAGGCTGAATTGCGGCGCCTCCACACGCGTTTTGGTCATCCATCCGTGTATCGGCTGCACAAGCTGCTGAATTCGGCTGGCCATGATGTGGAAATCGAAGCTCTGGAAATGATCAAGAAGTTCTGCCACTACTGTCAGATGAAATCCGACCCGCCACGAAGGTTCAAGTTCAGCTTGAAGGATGATTGTGACTTCAATTACGAAGTCATCGTTGATGTCATGACATTGGGTGGCAGACCAGTCCTCCATGTTGTTGATCGCCACTGCCTATCAGGCAGGGAGATTCCTATCCAACATGACGGCCAAGGAAACGTGGCTCGCGTTGAAACAATGTTGGATGGATACATACCTTGGACCACCCGATGTGATCACTCATGACGCAGGCACGAATTTCGCTGCTGCCGAGTTCCAAGCAGAAGCGAAATTGATGGGAATAACGTGTCATCAGGTGCCTGTGGAAGCACATTGGGCTGTTGGGAAGGTTGAGAAGTATCATGTGCCCGTCCGAAGAGCATATGATATATTAAAGGCAGAGCTGAAGGATACCGTGAGCCCTGATCAAGTCCTTCAAATGGCTTTCAAGGCTGTCAACGACACAGCCGGTCCGGATGGCCTCGTTCCAACCCTCCTCGTCTTCGGTGCTCTGCCTCGAATGACGATGGATTCGCCGCCTACACCTTCCGCAATGGCAAGAGCTAAGGCGGTGTGGCGAACGATGTCAGAGCTGAGGAAGATCAACGCCCAGAGGAAGGTTCAGACCGCGTTAAATACGCGTAATGGGCCTGATACAGCGTTGCGCCTGCCCCTATCCCTGGCGCTAGGAAGCGAAGTTCGCGTATTTCGCGAGAAGCACGGATGGCAAGGCCCATATAAAGTGCTCGAGGTGACGGATACGGAAATCGCAGTTGACCTGGACAACGGACCAGCGAAATTTCGCAGTACATGCGTCCAACCGTACTATCGTCACCCGGAATCGCTCCTTCCTCAGTTGCAACCCGACCCTAGCCCTAGCCGCACAGACCCATCAACACAACAATCACTCCTTCCTCAACACAATCCGATCAACAACATCCTCTTCAAAACCCTCTTCCCTTCCACCCACAACTCAACAACCTCTTCCTCTTCCTACCACAGAAGACCAACCCAAACCTTTCGAATACCCTGAGCCAAAGAGGCCGCGCAGGCGTGGCCGACCTAGGAAGGATGCTGCACAAAATGGCACATCAGAATCCACTATTGTTTGCTCACCCGTTCAATTTATCGTTCATCATGAAGCTAATGCGTTTCTTGTTCGAAAAGAAATGGAACATCTCGGCCTAGCCAAGCGGCTACGAGCTGAAGGAAAGATCACAAGCACCGGTTTCCCATTTGAAGCTTCCGACACACTCGAGCTCACGAACCTCCTCGCCGCTGGGGTCATTGTACCCGAAGAATTCGATGCGAATAAACATGGTGGATATCGTGTCTTCAAATCACGAATGGTCAGAGAGGTTAAGGGAAGAAATACTGCAACGCCATACGAGAAATCACGCCTCGTTGTGCAAGGATACAATGATGATGGGAAACGTGGGATCCTCACACAAGCCCCTACCATCAGCCGGCCCGCACAACGCGTGGCCTTGGCCTTAGCACCGTTTCTCTGCACACGGGATATGTTCATCATGATCAGAGACATCACGATGGCATACACACAATCCCAGACCAAGCTGGCCCGTGTCATCCTTGCAGCCCTTCCTCAAGAACTCAAAAGAAGATATCCAGAGGGAACAATCCTGCGAATCGTGAAGCCGCTATATGGCATCGCAGAGGCAGGAGCCCACTGGTTCAACACATATCACGACCATCACTGCCGCAAGCTTAATATGGAAACCTCTTCGTTTGACCCGTGCCTTCTGATCACGGCAAACAACATCGCCGACAAGGACCTGTTTGGCATCGCGGCCTTGCAAACGGATGACACATTCATTGTTGGCACAGATGCATTTCTCAAGATCGAGGAGAAAGAACTCTGCTTTAAGGCCAAGCCAAAGAGATTCTCCAAGAAGGTTCCATCTGCGACTTTAACGGCAGCCGCCTGACCATACAAAATGGCTGTGTCATCGTCAGGCAGAAGGGCCAAGCCCAAAACCTCGAGGAGATCAATCTTCAGGCATCAAGTAGGCATCAGGATTATGCTGCTCAACGCGCCCGGGGCATATATCGCTTCGATTTGCCAACCCGAAGCAACATACGATTGTTCCGTTGCGGCACAAGCCCAAGAGCCCGTTAATACCGACTTCAAGGCTTTGAACAAGCGGATTGAATGGCAGATCAACAATCCCGACCGTGGCCTATGTTACATACCCATCGATCTCGAGAGCGCGAAGATCTTTGTGTTCACCGATGGATCATTCGCCAACAATAAGGATTTAAGCTCTCAAATCGGCTTTGTGATTATCATCGCCAATGAGACCGCGCAATCAACCGATTCATTTTCCATCCGCGGAAACATTCTTCATTGAGCTCAACTAAATGCAAGCGCGTTACTCGAAGCGTTCTTGCATCAGAGATCTATGGATTGACATCGGGCTTCGATCTCGCATTTGTGATCAAGCAAACGGTCAATACGATCGCACAACGCCTTGATCTGAAGCAAATCCCGCTCGTCATTTGCACAGATTCATATAGCCTCTATGAGTGCCTCGTCAAACTTGGCACCACAACAGAGAAGCGACTCATGATAGATATCATGGCGCTGAGGCAGGCATATGAATCAAGGGATATTGCGGAAATCCGTTGGGTCAACGGCGCAGATAACCCTGCCGATGCTATGACGAAGGCATCACCAAACAGCGCCCTCACGCAGTTTATTAGCGACAATCAGCTAAACGTGAGGGTGGAAGGATTCGTTCATCGCAATAACACAACAATTCTCGACGAGATTTAATCGGTTTTTCGTTCCTTCTTCTGCTTTACCGTCGTTCTTTATTCCATTCACATTAACGAGGAGATCCTCGTGTCCATATTCCAACGTGGGACCGATGGAATCAGCTAGCGCATCCGGCGCTCGAAATGCGGCCCATGATGGCGTGTGGCAGAACACACCCAGTGTGGGGGAGGGAGAGCTACAGTCAGAGCACACTATCCAACATAGTGATGCATCGTGGTAGGAGTTTGTTGGTGTTCTTGTTCGTGTTTTTCCTATCTCATCTTAATTCGCTGTGTTTGGTGTGTTTTTGGTGGATTGATTAGTGCGCGATCATCGATTTAGAAAGAGGTTCCAGTGTTGGATCCACCTGTGCACTAGGCACCGATCGCGCACGTATAACTAATCGACCGCGCTAGTCACGTGCGAGTAAGAGGTGAGACACAGGGAGGAAGGTCTTTGCACACAGTTTGTATGGGACACGTTTCCCTAGTTACACAAGATATAACCAATTGAACCAGTTCGAATAACCTCACTGCAGTGAAGAGCCTGTCCACAGTATACGCATAAGAAACAAAAAAAAACTCTAAAAAAAAAATCTGATCCTCGGGTGCAGCTAGCCTAGGAGTGATATTTAGCTAAATAGACCAAACTTATGCTCGTTTCTATACCGTTATAGCGTATTAGATTATAGTGCCGTGAAAAAGACTAACTAGCTGCTGATATCGATAATAGCGCGATGACGGCTAAATAAGATAGCCAGTTAAGGCCGCCTTTCTAAATTAATTAGCCTTAGAGAGGCGTAGCAAAAATATATTACTATAATAACGAGCTTAATAGGCTAAAGGCTAACACGTCAGCCTTACGTAGAAGTAAGTGAAATAAAGAGGCTTTTAGTTAAAAAATAAGGCGTTATGTATATAAATTACTCATCGCTAGAATAGTTACTAAATACGGAGGAATCTTTCAAAATCATATCCCGCGCTAAAGCAACCCCTGTAAAGAAAAGGGAAGGAAGAGAACCCCTTATATCTATTTCCCTTTATAAAGGAATATAAGAAAGATCTTCTAGAATAATTATCTAAAAAGATAAAGCAAGCCTAAAAAAGCTGCCGTATAAAGAGATCTAAGCCTAGATAGAGCGAATTCCTCGGTATATATAGTTTTATTTTATATTAAATTAGAAGTCGGAAATAAGTGTTAAGAGAGCAGGAGAGACAGTATATAGTATTAGCAAGAAATAGCATACGGTAACAGAAATTCGGTGCGCTCTTAGCCGATTTGAACCTATTATTCGTAGGTGGAGGTAAGCAGGGAGAGCCATGTTCTACTTCGTATTTTATCCACAAAGAAACATCATAGTTAGTAGGCTATGTAATTAAAAATCTCTGCAGATTGCGGAGCACGACGACGCAGTACTAGCTGTCAGTATCTCGATACGTAGCGGCGTCTTAGCCTCCTCGACTATTATGCATGGGTAGTAAACCGAACACTATCGTCAAGTTTGACCTCGAAAGGCTCCAAGTGGTCCCTACTATTGCTGAGATGGTTGTTCATCAAACTTCGCCTTTGACACGTATCCATCCGCTTTTCACACTCGACATGTCCGCTAGCGCTCCGGTTTTCCAAGCACTCGATGAATACGAGGCCTGCAGACCAATTTCATGTCGTACCGAGGTGGTGCTTTTGCCGGCTCTGAAAACCCTATAAGAAGGTTGTTGTCTGCGTGGGAGATGACTCTTGCCCAGGCATCTTCCTACCTCCGTCTATCCGAGGGTTCATTCGTTCGATTTCTTTTCGCTTCTGTTCATCGTTTGAACTGTCGCCGTCCCTACTACATAAGTTGCCGTCTACATAGTCGCCGCGATGAGATCTACTCTTCTGTTCGCGTCTATCCTCCCTTGCGCGTATGGCACGCAGCTCAATCCCGACTTCTTGGAGCTCGTGAGACAGGACCCGCGTGCCCAATTGAACCTGAACCGATATGCCGCGCAAAAGTTCGACATTGGTTCACCATATTCGGAAATCCCCATGTCTAAGCTCGCGAATATCAACATGGACAGTATACCGCAAGACAAGCGGCAATGCTTCTATGTACGCCAGCAGTTCAGCGATAGGAATAGTATTGCGTCCACGGTCGATTTTGCCCCCCCCTCGGTTGACGGTTCCAGGACCTCCCCGGGGCCCATTACCGTGTCCTCCTCCAAGACGATTATAGATAGCTCCAGGCTGGGGTGGAATACGGAGTTTTCCGAGGAGGAGAGCATATCGGCCAGCGCAGGGCTTGCCGGTTCCTTCGGCTCCGGGTCCGTCAGCTATAACCACGGCGAGCGGTGGACCAAGGGAGAGAGCGGTGATAGGACAGCGACGCAAGAGATCTCCAAGTCGGTCACCGGCGTGTTCGACTGCCCCGACGACGCCTCGTGCACCGTTCTCACCTGGGCTTACGACGTGCACCTGCGCGGGCGCTGCTACTGGCAGCCCTTGGTGGACGCCGATTGCTTTGGCGACTTGCGATATTTTCATCGGGACGACCAAGGAGAAACTGCCAGCCATCAAGTATATGGCAACATCAGCGTCTTGGCCTATGCTGCCAACGACCTACACGTGACACACTTTGAAATGTTCCCACCCAGGTGGAAGGATGAGGGATGGTGGGGGCCCGGGCTGCTGAACAGACAAGGCCCTCCGCCGAAATGGGTCACTGCCGAGGCGTGGATCGATCTCGACGACTTAGACGGCGATCACACGACCTTCGTGCCAGTAACTCCTTGGGGAAGATCTGTCTCTCAACAGTTCTGGAGCTTTGGCTCAGGAGACACTATCGAATCAGGCATTCTCCCTGTCGACAAGCTCGGGGTGCAAATGCACAAGGCGGCCGAGCCATCCAGGAAAATCGACGTCCAGTGCGACTTCATCGAGCCACTCAAGCTCAACGGGGAAGTCATGACCAATCAACACATGCTGGTTGAGCGCGTGGGCGTCAATTACATGCTGCCGCCGGTTGAATTCAAGGCCGACCGTTACAACGCCTCGACAAAACAGTGCTTCCTCGAGGGCGGCTGGCGATACGCCGTCACCAAGAACCGCGACGCTGCCTGGGGCAAGCCCCTGCCGCGTGGGCAGTGGGAATGGACGTATGGTCAGATGAGGCCTAACTGGCCCAAGACGCCGGCGGGTCTTGACGAGAAGTGCCCTGAAATGGTGCCGCTGGCGAGCCAGATCCACAAGCGGTCTGATGACGACGAGCCCAAGAGGCGGGTGGACTCGGTCATTACTTTCGATGACGAGCTCTTCTTCTGAGACCACCTTGAGCTCGTGGAATGTGAGGAGGGGGCAAGGTGAGGAGGGAAAACCTAGCGCCGAGGCCATGGTGCCATGGTGTCAACTATGGCGGCGACCATCTCCATCATGCATGTCCCCAATCTCTAGAGTCTTGTGCGTTGGGAGGGTTCCAAATGGTCAAGCCACAAGCTGCACCAGCTAGTTGTATAGGCTCCATGCCACCCATCATCCCCATGTGCTGCCCAAAGGAATACTCGGGCTGGGAATCCATACATCATCACCCAGGTAGTCGAGGCACATCGAGCTCCATGTCAGTGCAATACACAACCGTGATTATCAGGCTTGCCAGTTTGCGGCGGTCATGCCGGCCTCGGTGAGCCGGGGAGGGGGGGTGAGAGCGAGTCGTGGGCAATAAAACCACCATGACCACCACCACCTCTGTGGCTAGAAAAGACTGCAGGCTATCTGTATTTTATATGTATCGTAAAGCAATCCGTCTTGGAGGGTGCATGCTGTCAGGCAAGGGGGCTAGGGCAAGCTCATTGTTAGAGACTAGCGTACGGCGTATAGCTTGTTGATACGCTCATGGCATACGTATGCCCGGCTCGTACGCTATATAGGCGCGGCGAATGCGCACTGAATTGTGCGGTATCGGCGCTGCGCTTTGACCAGCCACACTTCCTCACTAGAAAGTTGGTGGCTGCCGTCACCGACAATAAGGGCTTCTACAACATTGCCCTCCTGCCATACTGGCCGAGTAAGACTGACTACGACAAGTGGGCGGCTGAGACCGGCTTCACGGATTGGTGGGCCGCCATAGACCCCCGGGAGTTCGGTCACGGCTGGTTTCTCGAGGTCTTCTTTCCCCCAGTTGATCGTTTCGAGACCGTCTTTTCCAACTGCCAGATACCCGAAGGCGCCGCGCATATGGAGGAGTCCTTCAGCGGGCAGATCCGGGAGCACGTCTACTGGGGAAGCATGCGCGATCGCCTTGCAGCAGCCCAGACAGGTGAACTTGAGGGTGAAAAGGCAGCCAAGCGCGAAGCAGACCCGGCCGGCCGGGTCCACGTCTGCGGTAAGAAAAATCTCGCCGTCATCCGCTCCGGCCAGGACTGGTTCGATACCCTGCCGGATGAGCGCAAGTTGTATGTTGAGACAATGCGTCCCGTCCTGACGGCTGGCATGGACTTTCTCCGTGATAGGGGCAACGAGGTTGGTTGCCATAGCTGCCGATTCATGCATGTCGTGGATTCAACGACGCGAAAGGTTAGAACATAGTGTTATTCCCCTTTGCACGTCTAAGAAATAGCACTTAGCTCTACAATTAATCAGAAAAAGATATCTACAGGCTGCTCATTGGCGCTTACTAACTACGCGCTGAGGACATATATTACGGTTATGGCTACTAATGGTGTAACCGGTCCGTCTAGACGCCTCAGACTGTATGTTTGGTTTGTCTTGCTTGGCCGGACTCAACTGGCAGTCTACCTGAGATTCCCAGACCGAAACATCAGTCAGTCCGTCACCGTCAGACTGAACTACTGTCACAAGCCTACGGAGCCTGAGCCACGACATCCAGACCTCTAGTGAAATCTACGGACAAGAACAACACATCTCTCAAGCAGTGGCTTAAGAGCACAGTGGAAGAAATAGGGGCACAGAAAGGTGAATTTAGTGATGCATGTCTTGGTCTATCTATTGGGATAAGGGAGGGGCTTATATAGGTATAGTAACTATATATAGCTAGCCAAAAGAGGGCATTAAGATATTCCTATACCTAAGTCAGGCCTATATAATGTCCTTAGGCTAGGGGAGTCATATTAGTTAGGCAGGCTTCCTTGTGCATGACTATTAGGTCTACTGGGCATAACTGTGGCTTCTTATGCCCACTCTCCTCAACACACCCCCTTGCCACCCTAGCTTCTAGATAGTAGGGCAATAGGTAGAGGAGGGTTCGGTCTAATAAATATAAGGCTATTCCGATATTAAATTTAGCTACTTTACTATCTATTTAAGGAGGTTGTCTAAAAATAGGGGAGGCTCCTAATTATATTCTATAAAAAGGGAAGGTAAATATAGTAAAAGGCAAAAGCCGGGACCTAAGAGGATAGGATATAAGGAGAACCCTCCTCTATATATCCTATCTCCTTAGGCCCCTAAGTTCGTTGACCGCGCCCCCCCTAGGGCGTAGTTATATAACCTGCTCTTCCGCCTTAAGGGGAGTCAAACTTACGATTAATAGGGTTATATAACCTACTCTTACCGTTTAACTAGTAGTTATAAGTTATATTTATAACCTTCCTTATAAGGAGGGGCATAGCGGGGCATCCCTTTAGGTAGCCTAGGTACCGTAGTACCTTTACCAGCGATATTATTATTTAGGATAAAAGTAATCTTAATAGTAGACTTTTTAATAATATATTCCTTATATTAATTAGTCTTAATTTAGTAAAGCTATCGCGATTATCGTAAGTTTAAGCGCTATAGTATTATACTAATTAAGGGGTAGTCTAGTAATAGCTTTACTTCTTAGTAGTAAATAGGGCTAACTTCTACCCCTTAGATCTTTATAGTTTCTTAACTAAATTAAGATCTAACTACGCCGTTAGAATCCCTTAATCTTAGTATATATAGTAGTGCTCTTATTATCGGGATCTAGCGATTATCGAGTTTACTATAGTAAGGAGATATTACGCCTTAATACGGTAGTTAGGTATATTATCTCTTAATATATCTTCTAGCTATATTACTAGTCCTAGTTACTTAATAAAGCTTTAATACTTTTAGTATATAAGCGCCTTTATTATACTATTAGCTAGGTTATCTACTAATACGATCTAGCTAACTTATATCCGATCTTACTATACCTCTTAACGAAGCTAGTATTTATAAACTTTAACGTGCTTAAGGTTTATCTTAAGCTTCGCGCTTAATTTAGTTAGAAGCTTAATAGTTTAAAGGTTATTATACTAGAGCTCTATAGTCCCTTTAATACTAATACTAAGCTCCTTAATTAGTCGGCTAAATACTACCTATTCCTTAGCTATTTATAAGAGTACTAATAATTTAGCTTTTATAAAGGACGTTATTATAGTAGCTTACTTAATAGCTTTTTAGTCAATTAGCTTACTAAGGAGTAGGAATATATATCCTTATAAGGACTTCTTAGTTTCTAGGTTATCGGCGTATAAGGAGTCGGATATATATATTAGCCGCCTTATTAGGTTTATCGCCGTAAAGTAGATATAGCGGTTTCTCGTATAATAGAGGTAAGCTAGGCACTTACGTGCTTTATACCTATAGCGCGGCCCGGGGTTATAATTATATTAGGCTAGCTTTCCGGCTATAAATACGATATCTAGCCTAGTATAAATTACTAGATAAATAAGCGACCTAATTAGAGAGATATATTCGTATATCTCTTCCTTTAAGGCCTACTTTTTATAGGGGACGAGCTCTTCTATTATTAGCGGGATCTTAGGCTTACGAAGGATATTATTATTAAGGATATAATATTTCTTCGCGGTCTTAGAGATATAGGAAGCTTACGAGAGCTATATCTTCTTAAGATCCCTATCCTTAATAATCTCGATACTAAGGAACTAGCGTAGCTCTCCTATATACGTAACGGTATATTTTTTCGTAATAGCCTCGTATAGCTCTTCCTAATCTTATTTTTGCCTTTTCGGATATTTTATAACGATATTATCTACGAAGATAAAGATAATAACGCCCTTATAGACTAGTACGTAGGCGTCTTCTACTAGCTGCTAGGCTCCTAGTTTAGTAAAGAAACTAGATATCTCTTTAAACTATAGCTTTAAAGAGATATAGAGCTTATATAGTGCTTTTAATAGCTTTAGGCATAGCCTAGGCATTGAGAATCCCGGTAGAGGCTAGTAATAGACTTCTTAGCGTAGGATTACGTATAGAAATACTATTTTTACGTCGTATTATTCTATCTTAAAGTCCTCGAGGTAGTAGAAGGCTATTAGTAGTCGAAATGTTCGTGCTCGTAGCGTGGCTATATATATATCCTCGTTACCTTTAGGTTATAGGTCTCTACGAACTATAATATATGCTTTAAAGCGTGTAATATACCCCTATTTATCGGTCTTATATATAAAGACCTAACGTAAGGGGATTAGGAAGTAACCTTTCTATTTAATAATAGCTTTTAGGATAGTCTTCTACGTGCCCCTTACTAGGTTTTCCTCTATTTCGTGGTCTATAGCTTCCTTCTACTCGTATGCGAATTCTAAAGCTATTGCCGCGTTAAAGGAGGTAGGGGGAGGCGGTATATCTTTAACGTAAAGCTTATACTTACTTGCCTTTACGATAATATTATTAATAAGGGATTTCTTAGGCCTACGAGCCCGTTTTCCTTTAATAACGTTGCTTAGGTTAATCCCTTATAACGTATCCTTTCGTCTACGTTGTTCTTATATTTATAATGTCCTTAAGCCGGCCCTACTAATCGCTAGGTTAAGGGTGCGGGGTTCGGACTATCTTAAGGTATATAAGCAAAAGCGGAATTTTAGGAAATCAAGGAATCACGTAAGACTACGTGATAGAGGGGAAGAAGGAGTATAAGGTAGGATTTTCAACGGAATTTATTAGTAGTATATTGGTATATAGAAGAGGTGTTAAAGTTAATGATTTTCTATCTATCTACTAGCGGACATGCTATCTTATATAGACAATTATAGCTAAACGGAAGAACCTTTCGGGACCAGATTTAGGCTGCCGTATAGCCCTAAGACTAGGGAATTCCGTGATACCTCGAGTGAATCTAGAAGTGTCTTAGTTCCCCTAATATTCGTGTTTAAAGGAGGTTGGTCGTGCCGGTGTTCTTAAGAGGTCTTAGCTAGCATTCTAAGCTAGCTCTATTCCTTCGATTCCCGATTATACGATAACCGGCGACCCGTTTAATGCATAATAATATATAAAATAACGAGCGATTCTTGCTCTATAGGATAAGACTTTATCTATAATTAATATACTACTTATTAGCTTATATAATCGGGAGAGTATATTATAGCTGCTTTATTTATAGTAGGAACACCGTTCCTTACAGCCTCCCTTAAAGAGTAGATTTATATACTCTTTACTGATTTATTTATAGTAGTATATATATAGGGTAAAAACCTAATTTAGGAAAACCATTCTTATACCTTAATAGGATATATAAAAACCTATTCTTTCTTAGGAAAAAAAATCCTTAGGTATATACTAATAGAAAAACCTATGGTAGGAAAAATCTATAGTTATAATAATTATTTATAGGATAACCTTATATAAGGTAAAACCTATTATTGCTAGGAAAATCTTAATAGATAAAAACCTAGTAAATATTTCTCTAGGAAACCTAAAAGGAAAAACCTAGTAGGGGAAAGATATAGAAAGCATAAGAAATATCTAAAAACCCCTTTTAATTGCTTAGGAACTTATATTAAGGATAGACCGTCTCTAGATTTATAGAGTAATCTAGGTCTTAATTCCTTTGTAAAAATATCAGCTATATTATCTTCTGATTTAATATAAAAAACTCTAATTTCCCCTTTTCTTATACTAGTTCTAGTATAGTGATAGGCTAATCTTATATGCTTAGACCTTTTATGAAATTCCGGATTTTCTGCTAATTTAATAGCAGCAGTATTATCCGTTAAAATAGGAGGTATAGTATTAGGAATCTTAATAGATAGATCCTTAGTAATATTTTTAAAAAGCATATTTAAATAAACAGCTTCTTTATTTGCCTCCCTAAGGCCAATATATTCTGCTTCGCAGGTAGAAAGGGCAACGGCTTTCTGCTTAGAGCAAGCCCAGCTTATTATATTATTATATATATAAAAACAGTAACCGGAAAAGGATTTTCCGTCCGTTAAATCCGACGCCCAGCTAGAGTCGGTAAAACCCTTTATATATAGATAGGTAAAAGGGATATTGCAATTATATTTAATCTTTAGGCTAGGGAATTTATTTAAATATTTCCAAATTATATTTAAAGCCTTAAAATGCGTTTGGTCGGGCTTAGCCGCGAATCTAGCGCAGGAAATTACAGAATATAAGATATCTGGCCTAGTAAATAAGGCTAAGTATAATAGAGATCCTATTTCTTTCTGAAATTGCAATATATCTTCCTTAGAAGGTAATTCCTTTGCTTTTATAAGCTTAAAGCCTACTATAGCGGGTAAATTCGAAGTTCCTAAACCTTCTTTATTAAATTCCTTTAATTTATTTAAGGTATAATTTTCTTGGGATATATATAGCTCTTT